AAACGATGATGCGCGATGCAAGTAGATGCGAGAAATGACAGAATTTTTTTCGAAAATTGATTCGTTAGTGTGAGATATGTTGAGCATCTAGGATTGAGATTTAGATGTGTCGCCCCCCTTACATTTAAGTTGAATTTAGATTCCGAACGCGAATTGGTTATGAATGAATCTCGGGATGTGAACGATTGAACATAGTCATTAATTAGGAAATCTTGAAATTGAGAAAAATTGAGGTGCAGAGAAAAAAGCTCAAAGTCTAGGACAAATTTGTCAATTTTGGGACAAGTAATTTTAAAGATCTCAAATATAGAAACTTCTGTAAAACTTCGAACATAGACAAATGTTCATATCTCTGGAACCTAGATAACTGTTCTAGATTGTAGTCCAAGAAAAATTATCATTATTCTGGAACGAGACAAATTGTCTCACTTAGAAAGACAATATTACATGCGTTTATGTTTTAAAATCTTGATTTTGAAAATAGTTGTAAGATTCTGGTCATCCTTGGCATGCACAGGTGTACACACGAACTGCTCATTTGTTAATAACTTTTCACTCAGTTGTTGAAATTAGTTTTTTTTTAAGTAATTGATAGATTAGGATCATCGTTAACTATAGATATGCAAGGAGTAGGTAAAGCTTAACATTTGAATCAACACCAATGAATTTTTACACTTAAAGTCCGAGATGTGCAGCGAGAATTTCTCACTTCAGTTTTACAACGCAAAAACAACTACAGTGTATTACTAGAATTAAAATCTACTTTTTTTACGTATCTATAACAAGCTTGAATTCAATTCTATCGACTGCTTCAAAAAGAACTATGTTTCGTCAACTGTGTGCAAAGTTGTTAGCAAATAAGCCAAAACTGCGTATGCCAAGCATGATTCTGGTATACATTTTAGAGATATTGGACATTTTTGTTTAATGCTGGGACTTAGTAATTCGCGATCTCTATTACAAATAAATTAAGAAAACCTAGAATAATTTACAGTCCTAGAAAAATTTAAATGTTTCTAAAATATAGAAAAGATTTCATGATTTTGACATAGAATTTCTCTGAAATCTGGGCTTGGAAATTTCTTGATTCCGGACTTGTAAAAAATACAATTTGATGGACTAGGAAAAGAACTTTTGAAAAAAAGGTTCTACTACATAATTTTTCGATGTTTGGACAGATACTAAGGCTGTGGTCCATTTGGTGAATTTTCACTTAAATTTGACACTTCGAAACTAAATTATAATGTTCGAAAATCCCTCTGTTGTTGATCGGCCAATTTTCGAGAAGGTGTGTGTCAAAATTGATTCCTTGTCTGTCAGATATAAGTCAGCTGGAATAGCAGGTTAATTTGGAAATTTTCCATCTGTCAAGTTTAAGTGAAAATTCGCCAAATGGAACACAGCCTAAGGCTGTGTTCCATTTGGTGAATTTTCACTTAAATTTGACAGATGGAAAATTTTCAAATAAACCTGCTATTCCAGCAGACTCATTTCTGACAGACAAGGAATCAACTGTGACAGACGCTTTCTCGAAAATCGGCCGATCAATAACAGAGGGATTTTCGAACATCTTAATTTATTTTCGAAGTGTCAAATTTAAGTGAAAAATATCCAAATGGAACACAGCCTAAAGCTACCGGCCAGGTCTTCAGGTCTTTTCGTTCAACTTTACGTGAAATATATCGTGAATTGGTAATCAGTAATTTACAGGCAACCAATTCGCGATATATTCCACATAAAGTTGATCGATGTTACAAAACCATTCATGGACCTTACTGGTTACCATAACCATTACCATTAATGTTCTCAAACCAAAGTTAAAAGGTTTTAGTATAGTTTTCTTTCCGAAAATGTATGGAGAAAACAAGAATTTTGAATGGTAATGGTTCTTAACAACTCATTATTTGTAAGGTCCACTTCCAAAAAATTATAATACTTATGGTTAAAACTTTATCACACAAACGTTCATGTAAAGTTCCATAACCATTTCAGTTGAAGTTTAGCAGGGATTATAAACAATTTTAACCATTTTAGATAAGGTCAATTTATGGTTCGTGCTTATGCGGGATTTTAAATCGTTAAGCCTGGTACGCAGCTGAAAAGAAAACGGAAAAGTAATTTTTGAGGATTTTTCCCAAAAGAAAATTTGACAGCTATAGCACAGAGAACAGACATGGAGGCTGGAACAAAATTTCTCTAAAAACTTGTGTAAGGATTCCTATTTGACTTCTGCGCCATTAACGGCGACTTCCCCACTTAAAAACCTTCTTTGACAACATGATGGCACTGGCGTTGCACAAATTACACTAGACACTAAGTGCGCCAAGTGGCAATTTTCAACAGAAAATTTATCGATACTAGCGCCAAATTGGTCGAAAGTGAAAAATTTAGAGAGAAAATCAGGAGATGCTAACACCACGTAACGGCGACGTTCCCACTTATTTTACACAAGTTTCTGACCGAGCTTCAACGTCTGTTCTCTGTGGCTATCCAGCTTTCCATGCTCGGTAATGGCTTCCTGTTTGTATGAACAAATCTATCCTTCACTGTGCTATCTGGAGGTTCGGATTTTGACCCTTCTCTTTCCCTCTCCCAGGAACAGAAGAAAATGGAACAACATACGCCCTCCAGTTAGTGTCAAAAAGCACAGTGAAGGATACATTTATTCATACAAACAGGCCGCCATTACCGAGCATGGAAAGCTGGATAGTCTGCTAAATTTTGAGATTATAGGGAGATGTGGTCAAATTGTAAAATCAACACTTATTAGTGTTTATGTTGTTTAAATGCATCCAAAACATCAGTTTTGCAATAAACGCCAACATTACCTAACGGAATAATTGATCAGACCATTATTCCGCAAGGAAAGTGAAATTGCATTCAGAATGCGCCACCTTCATGTCGATCACGATACTAATGTAATCGATCTTTCCTTTACCGATTTCTTTTGAACTGCGTACTGGGTCAAGAAATGCTGAGGAAAAGTAATTTCTTTTGCATTCCGTGTCGTAAGCCTGGTACGCAGCTGAAAAGAAAACGGAAAAGTAATTTTTGAGGAATATTCCCAAAAGTTAATTTGACAGCTATAGGGAGGTGTCTTTGGCTAAATTTTGAGATCATAGGTAGGTGTCGCCTAGTTTTAAAATCAATAATTATCAATTTTTATGTTGTTAAAATGCATCCAAAACATCATTTATACAACAAACGTTAAAATTACCTAACGGAATAATTGGTCAGACCATTATTCCGCAAGCAAAATGAAATTGCATTCAGAATGCGCCACCTTCATGTCGATCACGATACTAATGTAATCGATCTTTCCTTTACCGATTTCTTTTGAACTGCGTACTTGGTCAAGAAATGCTATGGAAAAGAAATTTCTTTAGCATTCCGTGTCCTATCCCGTAGCACGTAAAAACGTCATTACTTTTCAGCTGCGTACCAGGCTTTAGTTGCCATCGGTTGGTACTGCTTTGTATGTCTGTCAATGCTGTCAATGGTATTATTACCCGAAAAAAAAAAATTACAGTGAAATTTTCAGTGGAAACAATGCTTTAACATCAATATTTATTGTCGACAATAAAAATGATTGTTATAATGTTGTACTCTTCCGAAAACGGCAAAACTGCTACCTAGCTGTACAATGAATATACATAATAAAATATTGTTACAATGATTTTTATCGTATTTTTCATTTATTTTATTGTTAACATGATTCGATCATGAACAATAATGAACAACTCTATTACAATAAAAATTGTTGTTACATTAAATATTGGTGTATTTTCATTGTGGGTTACTTCACGAACAATAAAAATAAATCTAATTGAAGCATGCAGACTATGAGAGGGTCAGCAACGCTGCCAATGTAATTAAGATAGGCGCTGCTCGTATGGCTCTGGCTTTGACAGTTCGTTTGGCTCAAAACCAGGCAGTCCGCGTCCGCTCATATCTTATCCTAGACCCTCTCTAAAGCTTAATGGAGACCTTTTCCGTGCAGTCAATAATCATACAATAATAATAAAAAATTCCACCACTTGAAGATGTCAGGAAGGAACTCTCAGGTGGAAGCATATTTCATGGGCGATTCTCTCCAGTCGAATGCATTAACTTATCAACGACGCTCAACCACCAAGGAGACGTGACCTAGGGATATCGAGCGCAGAGGAGTTAACCTGCATTTCTCACAAGTTCCGGATTGAATCTCGATCCATAATTAGTAAAAAAAAGGACCACCCGTAACAGACATACCACCCTCTTCCCTTCCCGGGGCAATGTTTTATTTCAGTGCTAACATTTGAAAACGGCACAAAAGCCATTTGTAAACAAATGGTTTGTGGGCCCTTTACTCACTACTTGAAGTACACCCACGCGACACAACAGCAACATCGGGTAGGGGAAATTTTCCCCTTCCTGACGATGCTGTTGGTTTGCGTGGGCGTTCTTCGGGTAGCGAGTAAAGGGCCCACAAACCATTTGTTTACAAATGGCTTTTGCGCCGTTTTCAAATGTTAGCACTGAATTTTTTCGATTTATTTTTAAAGTCGATAAAGTAGATCTGTCAAGCCAACACATACACTCTAAAGTACACTGTTATTTTTTTTAATCAATAAATTCGCCAACCAACAGTAAAATAACAATAATATATAATGTTATTGAAAAAAAATTATATGGGAAAATCACGAAAATTTCATTGTTAAGATACTTAACAACCCCCCTTTTCTATTGTAAATTTTCCATTTACCATGAAATTTATTGTTTTGTACAACATAAATCAAGGTAAATTTATTGTAGACGTAACAATATAAATCATTGTTAAGACAATAATTTTCGTCTTATTGTTACATTGTTTTTTAATGTATTTTTGTTGTTATTTTTTTTCGGGTAGTTATTGAGTTATTTCGATTCTCCGTGTACAAAAATGGGTGAACCGTTTCATTTCGATAGCGTTCCCTAAAAGCCGTCAGAAAATAATAATTATTGCATCTTTACAAACGTAAACAAACAAAGAGCTAGCTGTGAGCGGATTCGTCTCGTGTTGTTTTACAAATTTAGCTTAAAATTCATAGTAATTTTTAGTAAACTTATCATGTTCTCCGAAAAGATTCGACAGCTTACCATGTTATTGGAGAAACAGGAGCTTGAGGTTAGTAATATCACTTGATTTAATCGGAAAATTGGTCCAACATAAATTACATCACCGCTTTGTTCTTCGAACAGGCACCGAATGGCATAGTATCGGTTCAGCTGTATTCGGAACTGTTTGCAGCTTATTTGTATCAGAATGATCTGTAAGTATTGTTAGTCATGATAACCTCTGTAATGATAACTAAAATATTTCCTATAATCACAGCTCCAATGCCCGATATCTATGGAAACGGATTCCGCCGAGTGTGAGAGCTGGCCACTCCGAGCTGGATCAAATGTACAAAGTTTTTCAGTGCCAGTGGAACAACGACACGGCTGGGTTTTACAAGGTTATCAATTACGACTGGTCCAAGCATGTGTCCGAGCTAATGTTTGAGCTGAAGGAGAAAATGCAGCAGGATACGGTGAATCTGATAGGACGAGCCTACAGTTCAATTTTCGAAAACGTGTTTGCTGAAATGACCAACCAAACTGCAGATATGATAGATGAAATGTGTAAGACTCTTAACTGGGATATAGTAGAAGGCCCGCGCCCTAGGATGATCATACCTAAGCATCCACCACAGGATAAGCCTCTGGTGGTTACGGCCGAGGACCAACTGCAGAAGTTGACCGACTTCGTATCGTTCCTAGAAAACTAATCAGAATTTAACTAATCTCCGCACTCGTTCGATTTTCCATGTAGTTATTCGAAAGGAATGCTCGTTTGAAATTTGCTTGCTTAAGTTTTCCTCACTCATGTAAATTCCTTGGTTTGAAATAAACGATCATTTGAATTTATCAACCGACTCAGCCGATTTCTGTTTACAATGAGGTACTTCCCTAATAAAACAAATACCATACCCGAACGATAACCAACTGATAGAACTATATTCAACAGAAACAGAAAAAAATCACCAGGATTGAGAGCCCGCGGATGCTACTCCGTCATTACCAGGTCAACAGTAATTACACAGAGAACCAATAGACGATGCTTGGGACTACCAATCATCCTCAATGTGTAAAAACTGGTGATCAAAACTAGACAATGGATAAAAGAGTTAGGGTAGTAGCAGGATTCGTTTTGGTAAACGATCATATAAAACAGTCTTCTGCTCAGTAAGCAAAAACGTTTGCCATTAAGCAAACGTGCTCCTTGTATTACAACACACCACTTGTGATCGAGTGGTTGTTATTACCATGCATTATTTAAAGCACCGACAAATCGACATGAATGACCACAGCAAAATCAATAGAATTTCTGCCAAAGCACACTACTGACATCTGGCGCCGTGTTCGCGGGAAATATTTAGCTAAGCCATGAGCTCGGCCATGAACCCGCATGCAAAAGTTATGAATTGGTTCGTGTCTGATCTATTATGGACAAATTATTTTTTATCTAGATCAAAAAATCCTATGGGTTTGACAGTTCGGATCACTGCACATTAAAATCGGCCGTTTACGATTTTCAGGTAAAAGTTAGAATTAAAGGCCCAAGCGCAATGACAGCGGAAGCGGAACGGCAGCGGCAGCGGAATAGCCCGATCTGAGTAAGCCTATTTGTCGGATTGAAAACAAGTTAGAACCAAATCGACTTCGGTTAGGCAGCTTGATGTCATTTGTGACAACTGTCAAACTTTCCGTTTCCGTTCCGCTTCCGCCCACATTGCGTTTGGGCCTTAAGTGTCATGTCGGTTTGTCGGTGGTTTATAGTACGTTCAGACTACAGAGTTATAACATGTTATAGCGCTATCTTGATGGTGGTTTCTGTGTTGTAATTATTTGACAACCGTTATAACATGTTATAACTCTCCAGTCTGTACAGCGTTTTAACTTCGAAAAATATACCGTAAAACGGGGTAACATTGATAGTTTTTTAAAGTATATTCTAAATAATTTCTACAGCAATGCATGTTTTTCAAATTTTATATTTTTAAAACAAGTGCTGAGGATCATGCTTGGCATACACAGTTTTGCTCACGAACTGCTCATTTGCTAATAACTTTGCACAGAGTTGACGAAACATAGTTCTGTTTGAAGCAATGGATGGAACAGAGTTTAAGCTTCTTATAGATACGTAAAAAAGGATATTTTAATTCTAGTAATAAACTGTATTTGATATTGCGTTGCAAAAATGAAGTGAGAAATGCTCGCTGCACATCTCGGACTTTGAGTGTAAAAATTCATTGGTGTTGATTCAAATGATAAGATTTACATGTCTACAGTATACTATAATCCTAATCTATAAATTACTTTAAAGAAACAAAATTTCAACAACTGAGTGAAAAGTTATTAACAAATGAGTAGTTGGTGTGTACAACTGTGCATGCCAAGCATGCTGAGGATCCAAGAGTCAATTCGTTAGTAATATGTTTAACGGAAATTAAAGCATTTGCACTAATTTTTTAGTTTTGTGACCGAACTTTAGTTTTTTTTCAGGTTACTTTGATAATGCTCGATGAATGTAGTGGGTGAAACTCAAACCCTTTAGCTCTTTAAATTTGAAACTTCGAATGAGTATATTATCAGAAAATATCATAAACAATAAGAATACAACATTGAATTTGTGTTGGCTATATTGGAAATACATTTCATAAGTGATGGTTTGAGTGCTTTTTCAAACAGGCGAAAAACACGAAAATTGTTTTTTAATATGTTTGTAAAAAATGTAACACATACTGAATAAAAACAATATAAGATATCAACGGACATACCCCAAGCTACAATATGGAACCAATGTTTCTAATTTGGAAAATGCGCAGCGGGTAAATTTAATCTTAACATTATACCACAGACAAGCAGACATAACACTCGCAAGTTGTTCATCGAACAAGCATTTAACGGACAATTTAAAAGTATCGTAGTTGGTAGTACTACCACCTGTGGCGTGCATAGTCAATTCCCTTGCGTTTGACGTTTACACACTACCGCCATCAGTTCAGCGTAGTGCCCACCACAGTGTACTCAACAGATGGTGGTAATGTTTCAGCTATGTTTTATGGTGAGAAATATTAAATGTGTTATGTCTGTTTGTCTGTGATTATACTATCAAAGTTTGCTGCATTATCAAAGATACTCCGTTTTACGGTACCGGTTTTAATACACCATCTGATAGAGCTTCGTTTTCTGAGCACAACGATATTTTTTATCAATCCCGTAGACATTCATCTCGATTTTTAAATAAATATTTAAATTTTTGATCTTTGACACTAAATCTATACGTCAACAGCTCGCTCCCATACAACGTTCCACCAAGGGGTGCTAAGATGGTGATTTTTGCTAATGTAATCGTACTTATTTAAAATAGTTCCAGTGTACCAAAATTTATGAAATTTTGGATTTCGGTTCCATTTTTAATGCAGACAACGAATATGTATTTAACGCAATACCCCTAAACAAACCAATCTCTCCTTTCGAGGTAACTAATGATAATAATGAAACTATTTTATAAACCGACGTACTTCCAACAATTTCTTCACATAAACAGAATTTGACTGAAATTTTCATCTAATGTCAACATTTCAATCGCATGAAAAGCGCAGCAAAAATGAAGGAAATCTATCAAAATTTATTATGCTCATCCTTTTTGGTTTATTTCTGGCAACTGAAACAAGCTGAGATGAACGCGTACAAAGAGAAGAAATCTTTGGAAATGCCTTTAATGTATTCAGAGACGACATAAATTTTCATGCGTCTCAGAAAAAGTCAGGCGGTGGAGTCCTTATAGCTCTTTCGGCCAATTTTAAGTCAGAAATCATCTGTACATCAAAATTTAAAGAATTTGAGCATTTTTGGGTGAAATCACACATAGCAGGTGAAACACACGTGTTTGCCTCAGTGTATCTTCCACCAGACCATGCTCATAAAAACACTTATGAAGCCTTCTTGCAAAGTGCTGAACAAATTCTATCTGAGCTTCCTCCTGAGCTTAAAGCTCACATCTATGGAGACTTTAATCAACGCCATGCTGACTTCATTCTGGACTCTAAAAATGAAAGTATTTTACTCCCAGTCGTTGGGGATAATGAATCATTGCAGGTCATTTTTTACAAACTGCTAATTTAGGACTGAATCAAATTAACCACATTAAAAACCAACAAAATTGCTGTTTGAAATTTTTACTAACGAATATTTATGAAAATTTCTGTATGACCGAATCATTAAATGCATTGTGGAAAAATGGAGCGTTTCAAACAGAAATTCTTTATTTGCGCATGAAAATCAAAGACCCAACGACTGCGAATACGCACAAGTCTTTAAATACAAATTTGCAGGCTACGAAAAAATCAAACATAAATTAAACTCCGTCAATTGGCAAATAATTCTAATGTATGAAGGAAATGTTGAAACTACTGCAGACATCTTCTACCAAATTGTATCAGGAATAATTTCGGAAGAAATACCTTTGAAGAAAAAAGACGCTACAGAAGCACTAAAAATCCAGTCAAATAAAACACTTGAAAAATCAAAAGCAAAAAGGACATAGCATCAGTGATGCATTTGAAGAATATGATTCAAAAACTGAACTTGAAATAAAGCCCTGCCCGAAGAACGTAAAAACTAAAATAAAATCTGACAATTTTCCTTCAATCATGCGTTTTGACGAAAACGTCGGCGATAGCTCGGAAATCTATTTGATTTTTTTTTTTCAAGAAATCTACTCGACATTTTCTGAAGAAGATCGCCACTGCGATTATTTATTTATTTATTTATTGTAATTCATCTGACAGTATTTGTCTTAATGAATAAAACTTAGATAATACGCAAAAAAAGCAACAGATAAACAGATTACAAAAATAATCACAATCTTCTCAATCGGTTTCGAAATTGGTTCGATGTTTCTCAGAATTCAAATGCTTCTTCCATAGCGGGGAATGCCCGAATCATCGCAGACATTGGCTCATGGTATCCACATATCCATATGCAGTCCGATGGAATCTTGGTTGTAGTAAGGATGATTGCAGCAACATCCTTTGAGATCCAACACAGAAGTTTAATGGTGAAAGCAGTTGGGGGCAGTCCACATCGCCATTTAAAAGTTTCGCTATAAATAAGGCTTGTTGCATTTTTCTTCTGTGTTCCAATGTGTCCAGGTCCAATAACATGCATCGGTCAGCATAAGGTGGTAAATTCATTGGATCGCGCCACGGCAGGCTGCGCAAAGCCAACCTCAAAAAACTTTTCTGGACACGTTCTATTCGGAGTTTCCACACTAGCTCATATGGAGACCAGACCACAGATGCATTCTCAAGTATGGGCTCAACTAAAGAGCAATATAGCAACAATCAATTCGAAACTAACGATTTTAAATTGGCTTACTATTTAACTAGCCTATTGGTCCCAAGCAAATCGATTAACGAACCCCATTCTAGTCAAAATTCTAGTACTACACAATGTTTGTTTTGATTCACTATGAAAGTTTGACAGATAAAATGAGGGGTTAGTGGATATTCCTATGTTTCGAGGGGTGAATCGATTAGCTTGGGACCGAAGATAGTACCAGAGCTGAGCCAAAAAGTTGAACACGTTTATTCGGGACCTCCTGGTCTTAGAGTTACATCTATGAATATAGTGCCTTCAAGCAGTGAGGGTCTTTGAAATCTCGTGCAATCTTCGAAATAAAGGTCAACTTTAGGTCCAAAAGAACACCAAGATCAGTCATACGTTCTACTCTGCGAAGCGTTACATTGTCAATG